CGGGCTGTGCTGTCAACCACAGGCCACCTTGGGTTCGGCGGCGCACGTGGGCTTCAGGCGCCGTGACCCCGCCAGGCGGCACTTCTCTGCGACGGCTGCCGGGGCTGGCACTCTGGAACGCAGAGCCGCCCCAGGCACATCTCCTACCTCGCGCTCTCAGGAAGAGGCGCCGGCGGCGGCTGCAGGGCCGAGGGTGTGGCCGCGCTGTCGCGGCCGCGCCGTGTCAGAGCCGGGTGGGAGCCTGCACTGATTGCGCACAGCGGCCGTCCCACTCGTGCTCTCGCCCGCCACGCCCGGGTGCGCGGGGCTCCGCGGCTGCCCTTCCCGCCCGGCGGCTCAAAGCGCGCGGCCCGAAGCCGCGGCGGCACGCCCTCCCGGACCGCGCGCCCGGCGGCCCGCTGCTGGCTGTCGGCGCGAATCCATCTCCGGCGCGCCCTCGTCCTGGGCCCGCAGCGGCTGAGCTCTCCCGAGGCCCCGGGCCCCGCGCATCGGATGCAGCTGCACGCGTCTACACGGCTGATGAGCCGACTCAGAAGGTCCCCTTAGCGCCATGACCAGCAGCCCGGGCCCCGGCTCCTGCCATTTCCGTCAACCACCAACTTCCGAGCGAGCAGGGAGAAACTGAAAGGAAGGGCGGGGGCCGAAAGGCGAGGGGAAAACACCCGCTTCCTCTCTGCACGCAGCTTAGCCTTGGAGCACGGCCGTGGGTGCTCGCCCGCCGGGGCCGCCGGAGGCTTCCCCTCTGCCCAGCCGCGCCTCGCCCCCGGCTCGCCGCCGCCGCACCTCGCCGTAACCTCCCCGGAGCCTATAGAAATCTTTTGTGTGGCGTCACCGCCTTTCGTTTAAATCCCGCTTCCTCCTCTCGCCTTTTCTCCCGCCCCCTCCGCCGCTCCCGGATGCTTGCGCTGTGCGCTGCTCCTCCCCCGGGAAGCTGGGTGGCTGCGGGGGACGCCGCCGCCCAGCACTCAGCTGCCTGCCTGAAGCTGGTGGTCCTGGGCCGCCCCTGCGTTCCGGCRGAAAGATTGGGTAGCAGACGGGCTGGGGAAAGGCAGCCCGGCCAGGGGCCCTGCACATACCCTCTGGAGATCGCGGTGTAGCAGCCGGTTGGCCTTACGTAAGCTCTTAGCCAGACCCGGGCCCCAGGCTTCTCTCCGCCAGGGAAGCGAGTCTTAAAAAGGTGACTTGGGTTAGAGGGAAGGCCAATCGGTATGATTCCCTGGTGATTTACTGGAGCCCAGACATCTCGGTTTGTGGGACTTCGATTGGATTTTCCAAGCTTTCCTTCTGCCCTTTGTTGTGTTTGATCTCTTCCACAGTGGGTTTCTGATGGGCTGTGAGMGTGATGAAAAGAAAAGAGCACTGGATATAGAGTCCCAACAGGAGGGCGGGGGATTGTGCAGATGCTCACACTTAAAATCTCCAGCTAAGCATACTTCAAGTAGTCAGCAGGCTTTGAACTCAACTTCCAGGCTCAGTCTTTTCCCAGCCATTTATGAGTTCTGTGACCTAAGTTCTCTTTCCAAGTATCTATTTTTCTCTATGTCAGATACTGGCCACTGACTGCTTGAGCACTCACCTCATGAATAGTAGCTGTTAGAATTATTATGGGCCTTGATCAGCATACTTTGGCCCTTCATAGCTTTGTTGATATACTGGAGTAATAATGGCCATTGTTAAATAAGAAAGACAGCCTTTGGAGGTAAACATTATTTTACAGTTAGGGAAACCGATGGTCAGGTGCCTTAAGTAAGTGTCTTCTTAGGTGAGGAAGACAGCAATTGACTGGGTGAGGAACCCTCCCCGCCCCTCTCCTGACTTACTGCACCTTGTTCTGCAGGAAGTGGTTGGAACACCTGGCCTTACTCCCAGAGAATGGCCCATCAGTTCAGTAGTCCTGAATCCGGCCTTCTGGGTACTCTCCCAGCACACACTGGGTATGAAAACCAATGGAAATGTTTGTTGCTCTATTTTTTTCTAGGACTCCACGTCACTGCATCCGCCCCCCACCACCACCACCACCCAGCTTGTTACTTGTAACTAGAATGGACTTAAATTTATCGTCCAAGCCCAAACAGTTTGAAGAGTAACTGTGAGACATATTATTAATAAGTTAACAGAAGCAACAGGTTCAGACTTGGTTGGACAGTGCCCTACTTTCAGCTGAAAGTGGCCTTGGAGAATCTTGGAGAACTGAACTTGATAAAACTGATAACTTCCTAAACCAAGAGCAGTTTTATAGAGTCAATCCTTCTACTTTTGTACAAGGGAAAAATGTTTGGACAAATTCTTAACATGGTAACCCAGGAACAGCAAAAATAGCTCTAAAAACCTATGCCAGAGAAGTCAAACCATTTTCCCTAGGCCTAGTTTATTCATGAAACTGCTCTGAAATCAATTTTTTTCCCAAAACCAATTGGCATTCCTGGAGTCCCATTTCCCTTTTCTTCTACAGTGCAATCTGTTTTTCTTATCATCACTGGATGCTTCATACTCAACAATGAACTGTGCTACATGAGGACTGTACCACTATTCCACAAGGTTTGATTTAGCTTTTAAAATTGATAGGATTGTTTTCTTGGCCCTCCTTGCTTAGTTTCTCAGATAAGGCAGCTAGCTCCTAAGCTGATCCTTATAGGTACTGCTTTCACTTTCTTTTAGGTTATTTTCTGCCATCATTCATTCACTCCACAAACAATGAACACCTGCTACATGCTGGGCTCTGTACCAGGCATCAAAGTTACAAAGTAAGTAATATGAAGCTTCTACCTGTTAAGAGTGGAGTCCATGGGCTGGGGATGTGGCTCAGCGGTAGCGCGCTCGCCTGGC